GGGGGGGGGGGGGGGGATGTTGACTGGCTACATTTAATCTTTATTCAACATAAACTGAGCATTTTTAAAATACAACAGCTTCTTAGCCTCAGTATGACCCTAAGACCTCTGAACCCATCTGAGGTCTTCCTCACTCAGACATAAAGGAATGAGAGGAAGGCTGAGTTTTTCTTTGCTCCTTTGAGTTTGGACAAGAACTGGCATGTGTTCAAGGTATTTGTCATGCAATTACATCCAAGAGTGACCTAAAAATCCCTGCACTCAGGGTGAAAGCACCCGGTCAAAAGCTGACCAGAGCGAGCCTGAGGTTTTGATGAGAGTCTGTGAACTATTGAAATTTGGCATTGCAATGACTGGTTATCCTCTTACCCCATCCATTTTCATGCATGTCCCAAAGTCAGCAAGTTTGAGATGTCCGTAGCGGTCCAGCAGCATGTTGTCCGGTTTGACGTCTCGGTGAATAAAGCCCATGGAGTGAATGGCGTCCAGAGCCAACACAACCTCAGCAGTGTAAAACTTTGCCCACTTCTCTGGAACGTCATATGTACTGGTGAGATTGACAAGATCTCCTCCTGGCATATATTCCATTACCATGTAGAGAGAACGGTCATCCTGGAACGCACAGCACAGCTGAGGAAAAGATGAGAAAGAATTGAGAAAAGAGAAAGAATTATTATTATTAATTAATTTATTTATTTTTGTGTATGATTGTGTTGTGATCAAACTAGAGATACCCTGATATATTTATAGTCCAGTTAACATAACACATAATTTAACTTTTATCATTTTAACTGGAGCAGCTAGCTAATTAATTTAAATAATATAATATGATAGTAATAATCATAATAGAAATCAGTAAAAACATACACTATCGTTTTGGGTTGTAATGATTGTTTTGTTTTTTTATGTTTCTTAAAGAAGCCTCTTCTGCTCACCAAGGATGCTTTTGTGATATAGTAAATACAGTAAAAACAGCAAATCTATAAAATATAATTACACTTTAAAATAACCGTTTTCTACTTTAATCGAATTTAAAATGTAATTTATTCCTGTGATGGCAAAGCTGAATGTTCAGCAGCCATTACTCCGGTCTTGAGTGTCACACAATCCTTCAGAAATCATTCTAATATGCTGATTTGGCTCTCAAGAAACATTTCTTGTTATTATACAGTAAATGTTAAAAAAAACTGTTTCTAAAAAATGATTCTTTTGATCAATTTAATGCATCCTTGCTGTATTAAATTATGAATTTCTTTACATAAAAATCTTACTGTTCCCTAACTTTTTAATGATAGTGTGCATATTGGATAGTCATGTGATATTTAACACTTGGAAACAGCATATTCCTTATATTCATAGATCAAACCATAGTGAGTATTCGTGTGTGAAAAAACATTGTTGCACATGTGAGGGGACTTTCAAAAAGGACAAGTTTTTGGCTTCAAAAAAAGATGTCAGCGGCAGCGCATCTTACCTGCACGACCCATGGGCTGTCAGCAAACGCCATGATGTCACGTTCCTCCCAAAAGAAGGCAGAATCTGAACGTTTGATCATTTCAAACTTGCTGAGCACCTTCATTGCATACACCTTCTGAGAGGCCTTATGCCTAACCTACACAAACACACAACCAGATCATAACAAACTACATCACATACCTTCTGTGAGAATACTAGTGAGACGTTCACTAATGCATTACTAACAAACTACATTATTCAATTTCTAACAGGCCTTGTGCCTCACTCCCAAAACGATTTAAAATTAGAACTAATAAATACTCTGTGAGAGGCTGTTTTGCCTTCACAGACAAGCCACATTTTAAAGCTCCCTCTGTTGTTGTGCTTTAGGCATAACGCACCCACACAGCCCCTGTCAGACAACTGAGAGAGGAGAATACTGGGTAATCATGTTGTTTGTGTCTGCAGGCTTGTCCAGACGTATCCCACTGCATCTCTCCCCTGACTATCACAAACACACAACCAGAGTGCCGACACAATACAAAACTACACATGCTCTTTCTTCCTTTTGTATATCTGACATGTAAATACAATTACATGAGGTCCCATTCAACAGGAACCACAAAGAACTGCTTGCAGCATTTAGTACAAGTGAACACACTTAACACATCCATTCAGACAAATACGCATTACCTTTAGTTAAATTGTGGCTATTAATAGATTTAAATAATTGCAATTAATCTCATTCTCATGGAGTTAACATAGTGCTTTCAAAATGTGATGCATCGAGGAACATGTTGATGCCGCAGATTTATTTAGCAGTGTATGTGTAACTTATATGTGCAAATAAATTGCCTTCGCACTAAATTTACTAATAAAATAGGTACAGGATTATAACATCAGACACAAAAGAAAGAAACAGTGGGAAAGATTTGTACGTTTTCTTAGCAGTCAACACATATACGTTTAAATGCATCCTGAAATTCTTTCAAAAACACTGTTTCCTTACCAGCTGGACTTCTCCGAATGCTCCTCTACCGATCACCTTCACTCGGTCAAAATCATCTGGCTTCATCTGGAGCTCCCTTATTTGGCCCATAACCTTCTCATCTGTACACACAACACATTAAAATCACATTTCCTTGGTCATGTCATGAACAGCCAGATTTAGTTTTCCGGTGACCTGTCAGGTCTGTTAATAGTAATGACTGACTAATATAAAATTTACATAATTATAATATAAGAGGCCTTATGCCTAACCTACACAAACACACAACCAGATCATAACAAACTACATCACATACCTTCTGTGAGAATACTAGTGAGACGTTCACTAATGCATTACTAACAAACTACATTATTCAATTTCTAACAGGCCTTGTGCCTCACTCCCAAAACGATTTAAAATTAGAACTAATAAATACTCTGTGAGAGGCTGTTTTGCCTTCACAGACAAGCCACATTTTAAAGCTCCCTCTGTTGTTGTGCTTTAGGCATAACGCACCCACACAGCCCCTGTCAGACAACTGAGAGAGGAGAATACTGGGTAATCATGTTGTTTGTGTCTGCAGGCTTGTCCAGACGTATCCCACTGCATCTCTCCCCTGACTATCACAAACACACACCCAGAGTGACGACACAATACAAAACTACACATGCTTTCTTTTTTATATCTGACATGTAAATACACAATTACATGAGGTCCCATTCGACAGGAACCACACAGAACTGCTTGCAGCATTTGGATGAATGTGCACAAACTTAACCCATCCATACAGATTACACATTACATTACTTAAAGTGTGGCTATTAATATTTCTAAATAATTGCAATTAATCTCATTTTAATGGAGTTAACATAGTGCTTTCAAAATGTGATGCATCGAGGAACATGTTGATGCCGCAGATTTATTTAGCAGTGTATGTGTAACTTATATGTGCAAATAAATTGCCTTCGCACTAAATTTACTAATAAAATAGGTACAGGATTATAACATCAGACACAAAAGAAAGAAACAGTGGGAAAGATTTGTACGTTTTCTTAGCAGTCAACACATATACGTTTAAATGCATCCTGAAATTCTTTCAAAAACACTGTTTCCTTACCAGCTGGACTTCTCCGAATGCTCCTCTACCGATCACCTTCACTCGGTCAAAATCATCTGGCTTCATCTGGAGCTCCCTTATTTGGCCCATAACCTTCTCATCTGTACACACAACACATTAAAATCACATTTCCTTGGTCATGTCATGAACAGCCAGATTTAGTTTTCCGGTGACCTGTCAGGTCTGTTAATAGTAATGACTGACTAATATAAAATTTACATAATTATAATATAAATAATATAAAATATAAAATAATAATAATAATAATTATATAAAAATTATTAATTGGCCAGTATTTATCCATAATACCCCTTAATCAGGGTAGTGCCATATTTAATTTTTGACAGGAATGAAAAAGAGGCTGTAAGGAATGGAAGTACATGCATACAATGGATTGTACTGTTAACAAAACATCTTTCTGAAAAACTTTTTAGATTTCAGACTCAATAAAACATTTTGAAAGTTGCGAGCTGGGAAAATTACATGATTTAGGACCTTTATACAGTGCAAGCCATTGTAAAGACATTAAATCTATCCCTCACTGCCTCATTTTCATTTGCATTAAATTCAATATGACGTCTAACCTGACTAAGTTCTATTGGCCAATTAACTGTAGTGTTTTAAGTGTTTTTACATTTTTTTTTTTTTTTGCATAAATCTCATTTGTTATCATTAATGTTATCATTCTAGTTTTTTGTGAGGAAAAATGACAATGGATATATCTATACACACACACACCTCTCTCTCTTTCTCTCTCTCTCTATACATATACATTTTAAACAGCACATAAATTATAATTGGCCTGCAAAAAAGATTCATTGATCCATTGTCATTTTTCTCAGAAATGCCCCTCCCACTATCCCCCCCACTATACCTCAACAAATCTTCAGTATATACTGTAATGTTCAGTAGTTATTCATCAAAACATTGAGCATGTTTACTGTCATCAGGAATGACAATTATCAAAGGCCAGTGCAGAGAGTTCACACAGTCTGGATGAGAGGACTGTTGAGTCACACTCTCTCTTACAAACCAAACATTATAATTTCCATACAGCCCTACTGGTCTCCATGACAACAGGCAGAATCAGGAACAAAATTGGGACAGAATGTGATAATTACTCAAAAGTTTAACAGCGCATGAATAGAACACAGACACAGATGCGTTCACACAGACATGGTACTGGCTACTGAATTTAAACAAATATCAATGATAACTTAAGAAAAATGTAATACAAAATTTTTGGGAACAAATGTCAAATTACATGAACTGTGTTGAAAAATATAATACATGTCAGCATCCATCCATCCAACCATTCTCCAAACTGCTTGCTCAACGGTCTGGCATGGGGATGCTGAAGCCTATCTAAAGGTACTGGATGACCAGTCCATCACAGAGCAAATATTATAGTACCTGGTATTCCCATACGGTCTCTAATTTTAACCAAACCAAAACTTCTTTAGCTTATGAGAATGTGCACATCCAGAACTGTACAGTCAAACTTTGCTAAATGTGCGAGACCTAAAAATGAAAGCCACAAGTGTCCTGCAAAGAACTGCACAGGAAGTGCATTAAAATCCTTCATGACATCAACTCCAAGCCATTTCTTCATACCAAACACACACAAAAATGCAGTTTTCACCATCTGTGTTGACAGTTCATTATTTATGTGATGAGCTTCAGTGTTGTAAAGTGAGGGGCCCAAATTAGGAAGAGCCACTCAAAACAATTCAACTCAAATAAATGCTGTTGATGTTGTAGCAGGAAGCAGCCTCATTGTAAAACTTGATGCCACCATTAAGTATTTCCTTAGCCCGCAGAATAACACAGAACAACAATCAGAGAAAAACATGGCCTCTTAAAAGCAGATACTCACATCTATTCAAGAAGGTCTCGATATTCTTATTTTTACGCAAGGCCGGAAAGTCCAAATCTAAAACCAGGGCATTCATGGAATCCTGAAACAGAAAGACAAACACTGAGTAACGCATTAAAATAACGGTCTCCTTGCAAATAGCATTTATTCAAAGCGAACATGTCTGTGTTTTTCTTACACAACCTTTGAAAATTTGTGAAGCAAATTATCTAGTTTTTTTAGTCATTTCTAATTCCATTCATTTTTACAATACTTTTCATTAATGTCAACCTTTGTCAAAACCTGTTTGCCACATCATTATAAATTTCAACTTTTTTTTTTGCCAATTTTCTGGCAAAAGTGCTACTGGCATCCTATACGACATAAAAATCAATAAAGGTCCGATCAAATAAACTGCTACGAAAGGCCAGTGTAGAAGAATTGCTCTTAGAAGTATTATCTTAATTCATATCTTTCCTTAATTCTAAACATAATGTTTTAATGATAAAATCACATGTGCTCTGGATGCATGCATATAAACTTTTGTCACAACCACTCCACACAACAGAAAAATGTCAGAGAATCAGAACCAGTACATAAAATGAGAAGCAATTCATGTAAATAATTGTAGCCAAGCAATTTAACAATTTAATCTAATCCCATCTGGTTTTTGTTTTGGAAATGTTTATTTGTCTGGTGGGAAAAAAACAAATGTTAAGCGATATCTCTTTTACTTAAACCCTGAGTGGAATGAGTTACAGGCATTTTTCAAGGACAGGAAGTTTAATGGCTAGGCAGAACTTCCAGCCTGAAGAAATTAAGATTGATGAGTCAGCAAGGCTTTACAGTCAGTAGATAATAAAAGAACATCCACTTCTCTTGACGAAGCCTGATCTGACAAGTCATTCATCTTTTTTTTTTTATTATTACAGCCTTTGTTACCCAGAGCACACTTCACCTTTTTTGGGCATCTAGATGATGTTCTGCCCTGAGGGAATGCTGCGTATAATGAACGGAAATGCATTTAAAACAATTAAGCAGACATTGAGGCCACCAGGCCCATGGATTTGTTCCTGCACATGCAGACTGAGGTGATGGCTGGCGGTTTCGGCACTGCTGCGCTTGTAAAGCGCTTTGAAGCAAGACCAGGTCTGTTGTGACCGACATACCAGGCATGGTCTCGCTGGAAACCCTTACCCTTACCGGAAAAGCATTCGGAATGTCCAGCAGCCACACCTCTCCCCCTCCTCTCCCTTTTTCACTCTCTCTCCTGCCCTGCCTTCAACTTCCAAAAGTTCTCTACCCTTTACTGCACAATATGAAATCTTTATGGACACAAATCTTCAATCTCTTTCTTTATAAATGCATCTGTTCTGTGTGATATATATAAGATAGAACCACCATTGTTAACATAGTGATGATTATAATGCACTTTTTATTTGGCCATTAAACTGCACCAGTAGGCCAGATTTGCTCCATGTCATGACTACAAGACATTTTAATGACTATTTCATATTTTACCAGCATCTAATGATGATGGTTCTTTTACGTCATGATGATTTGGCATCATAATGATGATGCTTCTTTTTTCTTTCCAAGTTTGGGAACAAAAAAGGTTTTAGTGAATTAAATATAATGATATCACAAAGACTGGACATAACAATACAAGTTAATAAAAAAAAAATATATAATATATATAATTATTATAAGTTTATTAAATAAATAATTTGGACCCACTTTATATTAAGTGTTTTAACTACTACAAACATTTAAACTATTTAAATCATTTGCACTTACTGTTCACAAACATGGTTTTATTACACACAAACACCTGCATGTAATTAAATCTATAATTTCTGTAATTACATCTATAACTACACTGCTGACCCTACCCCTACCCCTTAACCATAACACAAGACCTGTTCCTAACCTTCACTGTAACCCACCTCACTAGCATCAAAAGCTATTTGCAATACAACATGAACCCAAGTATTTTTTAACCTAACAATTTTTTTAATGCAAGTCCATAGTAGTTAAAATAATCTAATATAAAGTGGGACCAATATTGTATTTGTTAAAAAAAAGGTTACTGTTTGCAAATGAAACATACAGTCAATTAAAGAGTCAATTCTTTAAATGAATCAGTCCAAAAGACTCAAACTATGAATCAGTTAAACCTGTTAATGCAGTAACTGCTATGACATATTAAAACATGTGACTATACCACTCAGTAGCTGAATTCTGTAGGAAACACTGCATAGCATCATGGAACTGGAGCTGACATTTGATTGAACTCTTGTGTGTGCCCGTTACATTTCACCAGATTAACAGCACATTTCCCAGTACGGAGCACTTCAAATATAAAACTTCTATTTAAGGAAAAACACACTGTCTATCTCAAAGCACACTTAGGCAGGAAATGACACCTGCCACCAGAGGCTCCAGTGAAACTGCTGTAGTGTCATAGTGCAGTTTAGAGATGACATAATTTCTTCCTGTGGCCCCCTCTCCTATATAGCCATCAGAGACATGAAACAGAACATACCAAAACACACCAAAGTTAACATTTAAAACATGAGGATGGTGTGAGGTGTGCTGAGAAGCCCAAAAATATAAGGGGCCACGGGTACCCATGAACACACATGTAACCCACTTGTACAAACACCCACAAAGGACAACCACACTGGGTCTTCAGTTTAAAACCACGGCTCCATTTTCAACCCAACACATGCAGAGTAGAGGTCTGCAAGCCCGTTGGGTAACAATATATTGTTATATTGATTATATTATAAATATTATACATCGCCTACGCAATACGCAACGCATATACGCAACGCATATACGCACGCATTAGCATACAGGTGACAGTTGACCATGCAGAGCACCAGGGAGAAGTTGGAGCATGGGGAGTTACTAAAAGTTCCCAATGCTTTGGGGAAAGCTGCATTTTGGAAGAGTTTTGATTTGATTACCACGGCAAACAGTGAGCCAATTGGTCATGTGCAGTGCAGAATCTGCAAACATATCCTTGCACGTGACAGCAAAAAACGCACGCAATAGGCTAAAGCTTGCCGCAAAGCCACAGAAAAAGTAATTACCATGAATGTGTCGGGGGGAAATAGAAAGGAGATATTTTAATTATTTATTAATAAATTAGTGTTTTCTGAGTCCGTGCCGCAAAGATGAAGATGAAGATGACGATCCTGACTCGCCATCTCCTCATTAGCCTTTTGAGTAGAGCATCTTTACGGATTTTATAATGAAAGAGTTTGTTTTCGATTTGTTTTATTTAGTTTTAAAGTAGTAATTTAAAGCTTTCTATAGATATATTTAGCAAGTCTTTGAGGCAAGTATTCGCTGAGTTTCGGTTCATCATTGTGAAGCGCTCCTAGCCGAAATTGCAGAAAGCGCATCATGTATGTATCCTTTATTTTCTTAAATCACAACATTTTGTTGATATTGTGAGTGCACACAAATACAAGTAGACCCTTTACAGTTCCGAGTGATGTATTACTCTTACCTTTATGAGCAAAAATGACGGCATATTTTGAGTTGTTTCCAATGCAAGTGATCGCGCCGGCGCCTCCATGTCCTGTAAAGCGCACTTTAGCTCTCCGCACAAACGATTAGATATGCGTCTAATTGCTCACATTTATATAGGTTAAACATTTAAACTAACATTGTGATATGCTATCTAAAGATTTTATTGTGATGATTTGAGAAGTCGTGATGATTTAAGAAGCCTAAATTGATCAAACATAGGCTATCAGCTCACTGTCTGCCGCTGGCCGCTTGGTCGTTACTTTAAAAAACAAAAACTTACATTTAACGAACAAAAAAAATGCTCCAAACGTTTTTCTAAATTAACTTAATAAAAAAACAAAACGAAATATAATCACTTTGACATTACATACAAAACTGAACTATTCCAATAGCTGAAACAGTAGTATAAACTGTTTTTGGGAGAAGGGGGAAAAAAGACGGGCTCGGGTCGGACTCGGGCCAAGAATTCTGATGAGCTGTCGGACATGGGCCGGGCTAGGGCCAGAGCGTCTTGGGCCAGGGCCGGGCTAGGGCCTAAATTTGAGGCCCGTGCAGGGCTCTAACACAGAGCATCAACTTTTGCCTGTGCTTTGCTTAAAGTTTAACTTGAAAGTGTGGCATTTTTGCACCACTAAAAATGTGCCATTTTGCACATTAACCTGAGACAAGTATTTTAACACTTAATCATTAACTGAACGTTCTTACAGAGCTAAACAAACCTCTGTTGATGTGCAAAAGGTTAGCCTTGACCTTCAGTCTCTACAGGCCAGGAAAATATAAAATAAAATACAATTTTAAAAGCATTGTAGGTTGTGAATACCATTTCTTTAAAGACTTCAATCATTCTGATTAGGTCAATGAGGGCATGCAACTACGGCCAAATAAAAGAAAAAAAAGTTAAAATGAACAATACGATTATTTATTTACAGGGGTGTGAAGTAACGAATTACAAATACTCACGTTACAGTAATTAAGTAGTTTTTATCAGTAATTGTACTTTTTTTGAGTAGTTTAAAAATTGTGTACTTTTACTTTTACTTGAGTACATTTTAAGTGATGTATCGGTACTTTTACTCCGCTATTTTCCTCCGTTTGTGGTCGTTACATGCTTATTTTAATTTTATTTTTATCCATCAACGTGATTGGATAGAGAGTAATAGGTCTCGTGACTTTGGTCAAATCAAATTGTGCATAGAAAACTTTAACCGCCAACTGTTTATCATGGCTGCTGCCTGCTGGAAGTGCATTATTCAAGCATCAATCCAGTCGCATCTTCCTCTAACTTGATATGTTAAGGTAAATTTCGGATTTCTGCTTACTAAATGATTTGTATATATGCTTGCCTATCTACACGGCCTGAAATTTGGTGTGAGGTTGCGGGTATTGCATACAGTGTTAACTCCCGCAAGTGCCACGTTCGGTAAATTCCCCACTCACTTATGAGACGCGCGATCTGCGCTGCCTCGTCTCTCTCTCGCGTGCGTTCTGCAGCAGTCACTTGGATAAGTCGTTGTTGCTTGTTGAACTTGTTGACTTGTGATGAGTTTGAGCGCGTGATGC